ATGAAAAGGTGTATTTTACCTTTTAAAAGTTAAAATATTGGCATTTTTTATGTGAAATGAAAGATTTGGGTTGGGTTAGATATATAAATACATAGGAATTGAGTGGTATGTGTGTAAATGTGTTTAAAGCCCCGCCCCCCACCCCTTCCCAAAAAAAAAAAAAAGCAGATTTTAAATCCCATGTAAGCGGAAAAAAGATAATCATGAGCTCATAAATCCAAAGAAATTACCAATTTAGAGAGCTCCCCATCCAGCCAATCCACAAAAGTCAGAACATCATCCATATTTGTATATGCCGCAGACTGGACTTTATTTATGAGATTTTTTATAAACTCCCCTTTTGTTTCTACATCTGCTTTAATCTATTGAAACAGTTAAAAAACCATGAAAAATATATAAAATCCAGAAATAAATGTTTGAAATAAGCAGCAGTAATTTCAAAAACTTACCGCTAATAAATGAGCAGATCTATTCTGTAGCTCTCCAACTATGCTGTTATGTACAGGACTTGAAGCCTGAACGGAGCCATTTCCATTGGCTTTTACGTCTCTTTTGGTCAAACAATGATAGAACTCCACCAAAGCTGTCGCGTTTTGGATATTGCCTTCGTTTCTAGGAAGAAGACGCAGAGGAGGCGGAGGTGGTGGTCGAGGTGGTGGTGGTGGGGGAGCTTTCAGAGCTGCAGGAGATTGGAGGGGTGTAGTTAATGAACTATTAGATTTAACTTCTGCAAGTTTAGCTTCAGGATTCATGGCAAAGGACTGAATTTGAGAGTCAATGTTTTTTTTATCCGCTGCCTTTTCTCTAGTATTTGTTTGGTCTAACTTATTGACAAAGTTATTCTGTAAATTGTTTAATTCAGAGGGCGCTCCTTCCTTAACTTCTGATGCGGCCTGTCACATCGAGAAGTAGAACTTCAGTGTCAAAATGGAGTTTTTAAACACATAAACTCTTAAGAGAATTTACTTTCATGCTTTAAATGAAAACTTGTTATATATGGTTTTCTAAACTTCATATTTATAATTGATTGCAGATTATAGTTCGAGATTGGTTTATGTAAAAATTTTGCTTATTAACTAGTATAATTCTTTCATATGGAATTAAAGCTACAAGATATAAAGAGAAAAAATAAGCAAACGAGATTTTAGCATTATTCAAAAATTCAAAAACAAAGCAGAGTAAAGACTAGCTTCACCTAAATTAAACTAATTAGTAAGTTCGACCAAACTACATTTATAAGAATAAATCTTGCCGCAAAAAATTTTAAAAATACATAAAAATAGCACCGGAAATTAATAAAATTCACTAGAAGAAAACATTTATTAGAGAACTTTACTACCTGTACCTGATCAAATCTGTTGAATGCAGCAATCTTAATTTCAGCGGCGGACAAGTCATTAAGAAGTTTATTCTTTTGTTCTTCTAGCTCAACATTAAGGCTCTTCAGCTTCTCAATCTCCTCCTTCAAACATGAAATCTCCAAGTTCATATCTTTCATCAAGATCTCACTCTCAGCTAATCTCTTCTGCCAATCTTTAACCATGGCATCAGGTTCATCCTCACATCTCCTGGAATTTATATCTGATTTTATCCGAAGCCGGGCATACTTCTCCACCGGCCGGACTCCCAGCCGACTCCCATTCTTCGAATCCTCCACCTCTGTTTCCCTTCTGTAAGCAATAATTTCTCCATCTAACCTCGTCTTATTCGGAAAAATTGATCTTTTAAGCTTCGAATTGGCTAAGGACTCTGAAGAAATTGGTTTTGGCTTGCCTGTTGGCTGTGTTGAGTTTCTGTTTGCTGATTCTAACTTTAGATTCTCCCTAAATTTCGAAACTTTAACACGATTTGAAGGTGATGAGGTTGAAGAAGACGAAGTTTTGCTCTCTGAAAGCTCCTTCATTATTCTGAATTGACTGATGGAAGCTGCTGCTAACAGTTTAATAAGTTAAGACAAGAAGATTGACTTCTCGGAGAAGGAGAGACAAGACCTTGATTTGTGCGCAAAATTTAGGATCTATCAAAGAAGACAAGCGGTCTGTGAATCCAAGTGGGAGCGGAGATTAGAAAAACTGGAAAAGATAAAAGTACAGCAGTTCAATAAAATAAATACGAAGGAAAGGGTTAGTTGTGTAGCATTTATCAGCACTTACATGGTGAGGGATCAAATGGGACAAAGAAAAATAATATTTACGTCAAAGAGATAACAAACCGCACTACGAGTAGCTGAAGCTCTTAAATTTAAAGAAATAAAATAAAATAATATGATTTTTCATCACATATTGCCATCCAAGATTTGGGGCGGTAAATCCAGCTTCATATGGTAACCCAAAGGAAAAAGGAAACAAACCCACAACTAGGGCTGTAACAGAGTGAAGCCGAGCTCGAGCTTAATGTTGAAACTAGTATTATAATAAAATAACAAATTGAATCATCAATTTCGTGATAAATAATAAGAAATATAAAATGTAAAACATCATTTTTTTAACATTTTTAATAATTTTTGACTTATAATATAATTTGAGTATATTTTATATTAATTATCTTTTTTTAACGAGGTTGCTCACTAACTAACGAGTTGAGCCGGAGCTAACTTGAGCTTGGGTTGTTAGCTCATCAAGCTCAATTCACCAACCACTTATCAAGCCAACCCAAGCCCGTTCACGAGTTGGCTTCGCTCACTTACACCTACCCACAATAGAGACTATAGTTTTATTTTAGGAGTTTACTACATAAAAGTAATAAATAGAGTAAGAAAATTTTCGACTCAAACTTTAGCATCAGATTTACATTGAAATGGATTAGGGATGGGATTTGTGCCACCCTCTGTCAATGCAAAATTTATGCATCACCAAAACGTTAACGCAAACAATTTGTGTCAAATGTAACGTCAATAAATTTTCAACCAATGCTTATTCAAATCGAAAGAGATTTAACTTCAAAGCCAAATGAAAAGCTCAAGTCATTTAACTCAAAAAAAAATATATATAGCAGTAGAACTATGTTCTCTTACAAAACTAGTAAAAGGAGGTTAAATGATCATCCATGCATTTGGATTAACAACAAAAACATTGCACTTATAGAGACACAAAACATTCACACACCTTAGCTTAAAAAATGTGTGTTTTATCTTACGCATTACTCTGTCCTTAAGTTCTGAATATGGGATAATTACGTGCAAATACATTGATATTTATAAATTAACCACCCAGGTCATTATTTTGAACTACCGTACAATTATTCACTCCTGCCATGATCAAACTATTGAGAATTTGATAAAAAGAAAGTTAATGGTTCGGGTTTTGCCATGAATTTTCATACTTGAGTGAGAATTTGAAAATTCGATGAAATAGAGTGTTTGATTTGTAAATAGCCAGTTTCGGGTGGTCTGTGATTAATAATTCCTCCTCATTAAGTGCTTCAAAGCAAGGACAGTCTACCAAACATTTTGGGTACAATGGAAGATATCCCATCAACAAAATAACAGGTGGAATGTGTGTTATGGAATTAATGACGATGAAGGAGTTAGCAAAGTACAGAGGACCTTTTACCTAATTTTTGAAGGAAGCTAAAACACAATTTTCTACACCAACTCTTCATTTCAATAAAAGGGGCACCTTACCTTCCTTGGCACCAATAAAATAATCTGCAGAATCTATTTTAGGATGTATTTAAATAAGATTTTATATATTTGTGGAGAGAACAATTGTTAAATCTGTTAGGTGAGATGTACAAATTTCAACAAAAGGGGAAGCTTAGCTGTTAAATCTCAACATTCAAATATTTAACAAATTAAAAAATCTCCTCTCCCAACAAATTTTAGATGCTAAAACAAAAAATCAAATAGTTTTATCAGGATTTAGCAAGATTTAGGGGCCATATGATAATGGCTTTAGCAGTTTCAGTAAATTCTATAAAACCAGATTTACTAAAATCATACCAAGAACAGGATTTCTGGGATTTAATGCAAAACTAAGAAATTTTTTAGAAGGAACTGGATTTACTAAATTCTACATTTAATATTGTCATTTTTATTTTTATGTAGTCTAATATTCTCAATTTTTATTGAATAGCACCTATGGACAAACAGCCCATATCGCCATTAATTACAAACCTCCATCATGCGATTCCCACTGAAAATAATAAGTTTCATGAACTTCAACCCTAACTTCAAAGCAGGTGAATGTTCATCAATCTTCCACCAAGTTTGCAATCCATCCACGCTAAAATCAACTATATTTACTATAAAAAATAAATAAATAATCAAATTAATCGAAATCCAATGAAAATACTGCGGGATACACAGTTAAGAACTCTGTTTCCATGAAAAAAAATTCAAAAAAAAATACAAAAAATCCACAAAAATAACAAAATTTAAGAAACCCGCATAGAATTTCTCACTTTCGAATAAAATTCATAACAAAAACCCTAATTTCTAACATCGTTTTCATGAAAATTATAAATAAATTACCTGAAGAGAGCGAGAGGAGTGTGGAGGAGGGGAGAGCTCGTGGAAGCTGACGATAGTGGAGGGAATTAACAATGCCCGCCTTTCCCGAGTATATATATATTAATGTGCCGTGTGAGGACCGGCAGAAGGTGACGCCCCGCCAATCATGCTCCGTCCATTCGAAGAGTTTGATGTGATGTGCGGCGGGATGAATCCAAGTTGTGGAGCTCCATATCTTATAAGAAAATTTTTTAGAAAAAAAAAAATACATAAAAACAAAATATAAGTATTATTTGCTATAAAGTTATAGGTAGATTTATTATGCTTCACTGACACTTCTAATTAAAGTGTTGTATCCGTGTGATACATGGCTCGACACGATTGAGACACATATCGGGCACAGTTGAATTAAATAATATTAAAAAAAGATACACTGTCCCAATTCTACGCCCGTCTTAAATTAATGAATTAAAAAAATTTAAAAAAATATTTTTAAGATTAAAATTTAAAAAAATGCAAAATTTAGGAATGATTTGTATACATACCGCTCAATTCTTATGTTGGGCACTGGTGTCCTAAGTTTTGACACACATGTCCTAAATTAACGAATAAAAAAATTCTCAAAAATACTTTTAATAGTAAATACCATGCCTTTATTAATGTATTAAATGATTACTTGTTACTTATTATTTATTAGTTATTACATGTTAGATTTTATGTTTTAATGTTTTAGCTTTTGAAATTTTCTCCTACAATCCAAGGTCAACTTTTGATTATTGTATGTGGATTAGGAAGAAAGTGGGTTCTTGGAAATGGGCTATATTTTTTGCAGCAACAAAACTATTACTAGGAATAAAAGAAGACTTGGAAACTTGTTGAAGATATGTAAGGTGGAGGAACTGGAGTACCTTGGCATCCCTCGCATCCTTAGGAAGCTAAATTGGTTTTCTTTACAAAAGCTAAAATGGTGTTGGTGCCCCCCACCCTCCTGTTATGAGGAATGCAGTTGATAAACCCTAGAAGCACTGAGGTGGTGCTAAAGTTGAAGTTTTGGTGATTTCCTCCATTCGGGACCACATGGAGCAATGGATGTTGGATGTTAAAGGTATCATTATCGAATGTGATAATTTAAATATTATCAATTTCTTATGGCAAGCTACTATGGGTGATAGAAGGATTGGAAGACTGCAAGATGTTGAAGACATCTCTTTTTTTACTTCGTTTAGATAGATTCTTTTTCAGCATATAAACAAATAGAGGAATATGGTTACCCATATTTGTGATCAAAAAGCCATTTTTTATTGTTTTTTTGTTAGAAATGTGGATAATTCGTATTTTCATTTTTCTTTTGTTGATTTTGACCTAGCCCATCTTTTATCGGGCTAGACATTTTGTTGTTTTTCTTTTTGTATTCATTATTTTAATGCAAATTACAGTTTTTTTTCAAAAAAGAAGGTCGAACCATCTTGGTCAGTTCCTCCTCCTTTAATTGATTGATTCACATCAACTTCGCAGCCCAACCTGCTTTCTATCTCAATCTCTCCCTTGAGAGTCTTGCAGCAGTTTGGTGTTTCGCTATTGTTGACTCACTATCCTTTTCCTCTGCTCATTGACTAGAGGCCATCTAGGGTTTCGACTTTTGAGTCTTACCATTAGGTGCTCCTCTAGTTCTCATCTCATTTATTAAATATGTTTATTAGTGAAATTTTTCATAAAAAAGGATATCAAATGATGGAGGAAGCATTAGACAGCAGTATTCTGAAATTATATGCCTCTGTTTTTCTTGCATCTTAGTTCAACATGGAACCAATAAATGTTGCTAATTTGTTAAAGAGCTTACTATGGGAATAATATTTTGATATTTGTCGTTACAATTTCAAGTAAGCACTTGCAAACATGATTGTCACTCTTACTTTTAACATTTTTTTTTTGTTTGTTTTTTTTGCATTTGGATAAATATAGAAGACATTGAGTAGTTTAGTTTCACTGTGAATACTTTAATTTCATATACTAATTTGAGACGTAATATTCAAATTATTTTCATAAATGTTTAAGATATCACCTTCCTTCTTCTTAAGGAGGGCTTTCACATAATCATTATGATAATAAAAGACTTCAAATTTTATATGAAAAAATTTTCTGAGTACTAATATGCAAGAGAAATTAGAGTGTCTTACGGTTTGTTTATACTTGTAATTTTATAGAAGTAAAACTATTTTTGCAAGATGCAATATTTGAATTTTGCTACTTAACAAATTTTTAAAACACTAATCCGTGATATTATTGTTTGAGCCTCATTTTTTATTTATAATTGCTCATTTTAAAGCTATTTAAAAATGAATTTTTATGTGTATTGTGAAATATCTATTAATGAAAAATGAGTTATACTGGAGATGCATTTAGAAGTAGCGAGATTTCAACTAACTCAAACGTAGAAGAAAATAAGTCATTGTGGAATCAAGTCACTATTGCTAGGAAAATGATCTAAAAGTGAAGGACATATTACATTTACATGCAACTTTTGTGGCATCACTTATAAAAGATCATATTCAAGACTAAAAGCTCACTTTCTTAAGATTGGTGGTTATGGAATTAAAGTTTCTCCCAAAGTAAGTTCCTCATTAATATGTGAAATACAAAACAAGTCAATGAAACTGAGTTAAGGATTAAAAGGACTCTTCCAAAAGAGATCTCATTACCAAGTTCTCATGAGTCATGTTATTATGTTTGTTAATTCAAATTAAAGATGCTAGTGTCAATGTTGATTCACTTAAAATGAAGGGGCATGAGACTGAAAAAAGAAAAGATGTCGGAGATAGTAATTTAGAAAATATATTTAATATACATATATGAGAACAAATAGATTGTAAAATTACAAGGGTATTTTTTTCAGTTGCCCTCCCATTTAACCTTACAAGAAATTCACTAGTGTTAATAGTTATTAGATCAAATTTATTATAAAGAAAAATTTAATATTGAGAAATTATTTAAACCAAAAAGCACATGAAAAGACAAAACAATTAGTTTAGTATGTAATGGTTGGATTGATTCATAAAGACAATCACTTATCAATTTTATAACAGTATCAAAATATTCTCCAATGTTTATCAAAGTTGTAAATTGCAAGGGCAAAATAAAGATAAATTTTCATTTCCAATTCGTTTAAACAAGCGATAGTGATGGTTGGTCCTTCAAATATTGTTCACATAATTACTGACAATGCTCTAATTTGTCGGACGATTGGTTTGCTTGTTGAGCAAATATATCCTCGTAACTTTTGGACACCTTGCACTTTTCACACCCTTAATCTTGCCTTAAGGAATATATGTGTTGTGAAAAATACTTAAGCAAATGAGATCACATATAATGAATGTCGTTGGATCATAGTGGTTATTAGCGATGTTATTTTGGTAAAAAATTTTATCATGAATCCTTCTATGAGGCTTTCTATATTTAATAATTTCTCTAATCTAAAAATGTTTGTTGTTACTGAAACTAAATTTGCTTCGGTTATTGTGATGTTAAGAAGATTTATATAAATTTAAAATGTACATCAAGCAATAGTGATTAACGAAAGATAGTCAGCTATTGTGAGGATGATGTGAGAAAGACAAGATATGTGAAGGAGAAAATTGAATATATTATATCTTTTATCGATCATGTTCATCATATGATTCAAGCTGCAGATAAAAATAAGCCATGCTTACACTTGATTTATAAGATGTGGTATACAATGTTACGTAAAGTGAAAGAAGAAATATAGAAATATGAAAGAAAAAAAAATGATGAAAGCTCAACTTTTTGGGGTATTGTACGTATAATTTTGGAAGATATGCAGAGCAAAAGTAATACGCCCCTACATTGCTTAAGTTAATATTTAAATTCAAGGAAAATTTTATGTTTTTGCTTTTTAGTTTACTTTTCTTCTATTAGGTTAGAATCACAAATCTGAATTTTTATTATATTTTATACATTCTTGAATGATATTTAAGTAAAGAATGTCACGAGGAGAATCCTCAACGAGTTTCCTCTCGGAGATTCTAAAATTTCAAATATGAGAAAAGTTTGTTTGAAGCGTTATTTTCTAAATGATGATGAGAGACGACTTATAAATGTGAACTTAGTTATGTTTTGTTGGATATTTAGATGAATTTGAAGATAAAAAATTCTCTTGCGATAGTTGGAAAGTGGATCCAAAAATTGTGGTGGTTGATTCATGGAGCTTCAACGTCTTTACTTCAAACTATTATTATAAAGCTTCTTCGATAAGTCTCCTCCTCCTCATGTTCTGAGAGAAATTGAAGAACTTATTCATTCATAGAATCCATGAAGAGAAAAAAAATAAATTCACAACGAGCTGGAAATTTAGTTTATGTGCATACTAACCTTCATTTGTTATCAAGAAATGCTCCAAATAAAATTAAAGGTGTTAGCAAGACGTGGAATGTTGTAGGAGATGAATTTGATAACCTTAATGATACGAGAATTATGCAGATTGCAAACCATTCTATTGATGATCCAGAGTTAGAATATACGATATTTAATGATGATAATAATGGATGTGAACTGTGAACTAGGACGTGTCAAAGAAGTCGATCTCCTTTTATTTCTTTTAATTAATTAACATAGTTAAATTTTGATGTATTACAAGATAATATATGTTCTTGTGCTTGCATTTTGTATGTCATAAATGAAAGATATATCTATGGGCTTATTAGTTTTTGAAAGTTAATATTATTAACTATTCTCTTTTATTTATTTAATATATACATATATTTTTAATAATTGTTGTTTTATAATGGTGTGTTGTGTCATATATTTTCAATAATAAATATGTCTCGTGTTCATGTCGTGTCATATATGTGTCCCTGCAACATAGAAAATTTATTTGCCTTTTTTTATGATTAATACTTTGAAAAACAATATATTAGATGTGGATAATATGTAATTAAATATGAGTACAATTCTAAACATATAAAATTGTTATTTGTATATGTAGTTCTATAATAATAATTTTCTCTAAGAGACAACACTTCTTTGAAGTCAATTGTTTGAGGGTGTTTTTCGCTCGTGAAGAAG